TGTGGCCAAGTTCCAAGTAAGGCCCTACTTTGAACCCTACTTTGAAGGGTTTTTTCCAACCCCAACACAGGTACATTTTAAAACTCCATATTTGAGTATTTATTCTTTCCATAGGATCCTCTAGTGCTCTGATGGGAGCATCTGGACCTCACCCTCTGGATCTGAGCTGCCGCGGTCATTTGTTCCTGAGGATTAGATATCATTGTTCTGTTGCTGAATAACAAGGGTAAATGCTGGGTGTGATGCTCACTCAGCTCCCGCATCCCTCTAGCTCCCAGCTTTCCCATCTGCACACCTTTGAACCTCAGCAGCACCTTTAGATGGGTATTGGAAACGTTTATGGAGCGTCTGTGCCCTCCCCGTGGAAGGCCCTGGGCAGGGCTCATTCTCACAGCCTCACAAGCGCCCTGTATGTAGGTGCTCCGGTCAGCCCGATTCTAAAGAGCTGGAAACTGAGGCTCGAGGAGACAGGTGAGGGCGAGAAAGCATGTGTGGTTTAGGTACCAGAAGGACAGTTCTTACGAAAGGGCACAGCACAGCGGGCGGTACATAGAGAGTTATCAGAAACAGCAGCTTTTTGCTGTTGGAGAGAAACAGCCGATAGGGATCTCAGGACCATGAGCTGAGAGATGCTATGGAAGCGGCAGGAAGAGGGGAGATCTAGGAAAGACCCCACAAAGCAGTGCCAGAGGCAGGAAAATCAGCCCAGAAAGTGGCGTCCAGAGAACACCACTGACGGGTCTCGGTGCTGAGGTTGGGGGCTGGGAGGCGGGACTGGTGGGGGGAGCTGAAGACTGGGGATGGGAGGTAGGACCCGGGGGCCTCCAGTCAGATCGCAAGTGCCTATGAGCAGCACTCCCTGATGCGGGAGGCATGCTTGTCTGTCAGGAGGACTCTGCCCTGGCAAAATGCTTCTTTAAAAGCAGACCGGCTGATTGTTGAGTGTGCTGCTTTCTTTTCAAGACCACTGCAGTCATAATTAACATTTTAAGGACATGTTTCTCTATTCAAAGAACAATTTTCCTCAAACCCTGCTAAGCCCTCACTTCTGACCCCTCATACTGACCCCTCACTTCTTAAGCTGCTCCTTGTACCCCTTGTGGCCAGCCTGCTGAAGGCACTTCCTTCTTGCTTAAGCTGTGAAGAGTCCGTTAGCAGCATCTTGAGGACCTAATGTGGACACAGTGTGCCGTGGAGGACAAGGTTACGGGGGGCAGTGGGCAAGGGACAAGAGGTTGGATCTGGGAGACCTCTTTCCTGGATCTGGGAGGCGGTGCCCTCCACTGCTGCTGGGGCTCAGGGTTCCCCGGTCCATCCCTAGCAAGACCTCTGGCTTGGGCTGAGCTGGCTGGGCCCTCCTATCTCGGTCACCACCTTGGGGTGCCTTTCCCCTCAGCCTTCCCACCACTGTGCCTTACCACACCCAGCCAGGCAGCCCCTAAAGTCCCCCCAGAGCTGGCCACTTTGGGGTCCAAAGGAAAGCAATTACTTTCACGCCACTGCCTGCACCCCACCCCTGAAGAGCCTCAGCCTCTGTCCCGAAGTCTGCTCCTCTCTCCAGAAGCCTCTGTCCCAAAGTCTGCTCCTCTCTCCAGAAGCCAGTCAAACAGCTCGCCAGGAAGAGCTGCAGCACCCTGCCCGCTCTCTAACCCCGAGTGAACACTCAGAATGAAAGGAGCCTCAGCTCGGCACCCACCTGTCCAGCGCTTCCCAGAGAATGTTCTCTCCCGAGCAGCAGCAGCAGGGAGCAGCACTGGTGGGCCTCAGGAACTCCTGCTGGCTGACTGCTTCCGGGCTATTTAAGGGCACATCAGGAGGCCGGCCCAGGGGAGTGGTCACTGCAGCCAGGGCCAAGGGGCAGCCTGAGCAGGAAAGCGCTCTGCTCTGCTCTGCTGGGCTGGGTTGCCTAACCTCATGCAGCACTGCCCTGCCCCCATGCCTCCCGGGCTCTGGGCTCCGGCTCTGGGTCCCTGGCCAAGTATTTCATTTCGTGACTGCACCCGTTTGTGTAGAGTTTGTGTCCACGTAGCCAGTGACCTTCAGCCCACAGCAGGGAGTAAAAAGGGGCCAGAAAAATAGCCTGTTGGGAGTAATGGACAAAGCTGTCTTTCTTGGGAGGCCTTTTGCTTTCCCTGATTTCCACAAATATTAACTTATTTTTGCTGGACGCTCCTCTGATGGACTTGGGCACCTTGAAAATACAGGATTCCCCCGACCGCCCCCCCCACCCCGCAACTGAGCTTGGAGAGAGGCCAGGCGGTAGGTAGGGCCAGTCTGCAGGCCCAGCTGTGTCATACACAGCAGAGGTGGCTCCTGCACCGGCTCCCTCCACCTCGCCTCCACTGGCTGCGAACTGGGGAGAAGGTGCTAAGCCCGTGCCTGGCACTCTCAGGTAGTGGGCACTGCCCTGGCTGCTCTGGTATTGAGGCAAAGGAGGGTGTATGGTCATCCTCACCCTCCTGTGCCCTTTCTTACTTTGTTGACATTTTCTTTTCTTTTCTTTTTTTTTTTTTTTTGCAAAGATTTATGCATACAAGAACAGGCCAGAGGTGCAGGGGGGTTGAGGATTCACCAGAGTCAGAGTGAGGAGCAAAACAGGCAGATTGACTGAAATACACCACTGAGGGGAGCAGTGGGCGAGACAGGAGAGGTCTGCTGCACCATGTGGGTCAGCTCCCTGGCTGGGAATCGAACTCATGCTGCAGTGGCTGCAGGTAATTCATAGTGCTGTGTTTTAACCTGTTGCGCCACCAGGGAAGGTCCGCCTGTTCTTTTCTTAATCACAGCAACTCGTTCCAAAACTAGGAGGCTTTCTGTTCCAAAACCGCCTATGAGGGAAACTGCAGCCTGCCTGCCTATCCGTCTGTCTGTTTGTCTGTCCTCCTGCTTGCCTTTGGCAGCTCTGGGTACTGCCCACCACCCTTCCCCCACCCTGCCACTTCTAGCTTCTCATTGTAAATCTTTCATTCAATTAAAACAACAACTACTGTGTTTTCGTTGTGTTCCTGACACGGCACTTACATAAACATGTAGCTACCATATCCACTGACATTTATTTTTGCATAACCTCATTTATTTCTCTTAAGATCAAGAGAAGATTTCCATTTTGGTGTTCTAGAGTTGGTGCTAAAGTCCATATTTACTTTCACTTTTATAGCATTTTAAGGGAAATCTATCTTTGCCACCCTGTCCATACCTACCCCCCCTTTCTTTGATAGCAGCACCCTACTTTCCTACTAGGAAACCACTGCCACTCTCTGACACGAGCTATGCAACCTCTGTCGTCAGACACGGTCCGGATGGAGGGGAATTGCTCTGAAAAATCAGACTTTCCACGCTAACTTATGTTATGACCTCCCTTTTTTTGTATAACTGTAATATCAAAATATTCTGAGCAACTTTCAGCTTACAATTGGATTGCCTCAGCTGCACAAGGCCTGCCTGCCCTGACAAGCAAGCACTGCACCAGGGTGAAAAAATTCCCCGGAAGTCAAGTGACTTGACTACTGACTGATAAATAAAAGCAAAAGGGCTGTTTTTGCAAAGTCTCTCTCACTGCCAGATGGAGGATAACCCAAATCTTATCATTCTATTATCTCACCTAGCCTTCTATTCAGCTTTTTAAAGAATTACTCAAACTTCCTATTGTTTGGCCTTTAGATGTGGAAATACATCCAGTTTGCCTGTTTTTTTTTTTTAAAGATTTATTTTTTATTTGTGCATACAGAACTGGGGTATAGGCCAGAGGTTCAGGAGCGGCGAGAGGCTTCACCAGAGACAGAGTGGAGAACAGAACAGGCAGATCGACGAAGTACACTGCTGAGGGGAGCAGCGGGCGGGTCAGGAGAGGTCTGCCACGCCATGTGGTCACCTCCGGGGCAGGCGGGAATCGAACTCATGCGGAAGCGGCTTTAGATTCTCAGTGCTGTGCTTTAACCCGCTGCGCCACCAGGGAGGGCCCCAGTTTGCCTGTTTTTTAAACTAATCAAGTTTTCCACCTACTATACCTTAAAGGAATCCACAAAAGTCTTCTGGCTAGTTTTTCAGGATTCTACTATGTAGTCTTTAGATAAAGAAATCCACCTATGTCTCAGAGATTTGACTAGCAAGGAATTTCCTCTTCTGTCTCCCAGGATGATTAAGGCAGAAAAATCAACCCATTAAGTAGTAGATAAGGTTTAAGGGACTTCTATCTTAGTTGATCTCCACTATAGTAATATTAGTCATAGATTTTGTGCACTTATGTACCTGTTTTTTACCTTGATTGATTTTAGAATGTTGTAATCTCAAGCTAGGGTCAAAACAACCCCAAACTGTTCTTAGGAAAAACAAAGATTATTGTAATCTCTCAGCCCAGTTCGTGTGCTGATGTCATCTCACTGCTTGTTTGTAATTTATAAAATAAACCTCTGCTGAAGGCAGAGCAGGAAGACTTGCACCCAACTCTGACTCCCGTGCCTCGCTCCCCTTTCCCCTTTTTTCTCCCTTTTCCCCTTTTTTAGGAATCTCCACTCGCCGACGCCTTCCCACCTTAGGGTCCTGCCTGTCCTGCCTCCAGACACCTCAATAGTTGGAGCTGGTCTCTGACAACTCTCCACACATGTCAGTGCATTGACACCACCACCCCCTCCAGAGCTGGGCCTGTGACTTAGGCCTGACCAGTCACAGTGCCGTGCTCCTTCTGAGATAATCTGCCCAAGTCCATGAGATGGAATGATACTTTCACGGGGACAACTACAAGAAGGATATTTCCTCTTTCCTGTTGGACTTGAAGCTGGAGGAGAAAGTCAGTGCAGCCACCATGCTCCTTCAAGGGAAAACCTCTCTGAGGATAAGACCAACAGAATCAAATCTGGATCCATTTAGCAGTGTTTGAGCTCCTGGATCTAGCCGTACCTGAAGCGCTACCTGTTTTCATTATGCAAATCAGTACATTCTCATTTTGCATAAATTGTCTGGGTTGGGTTTTCTTAACATGATATGGAACTCTCAGATGATATTTCACTTAAGCCTTGCAATAATATTCGGGATGGAGATTCATTGGCCTGCTTTTTAACATCAGGCCATGGGGTTTAGAAAGAGGAAATAATGGGCCCAGTGTTGCAGAGGTCACCAATGGCAAAGTCAAAAGTTAAACCCAAGTTGGTCTGATGGCTGAGCCAAACCCCTTACTCACTATACTTTATCATCTCCTCAGCCAAAAAGATGGAAGATGTGTTAGAAACCAGTGATAATGTTCCTGACCAAACCCAGTTGGATCACTTGTGCTCAGGAAGCCAAACTCTGAAGCATGAAAGGGTTTCCACTGAGGAAGACTATTCGCAAGCGGCACCACATCATGACAGCAGCGGCAGGGCTCACCAGAGGGTCCCTCCTCAAGTGGCAAGTGAAAGGAAGAGCAAGGGGAAGGATGGTGTGGAGCACGCAGGTGTGAGAGTCTCTTCATTTCCAGGGGCCCGCAAGCAGTCTGTAATCTGTCAGCAGAGTGTGGATGTACTTCTGGGACAGGGCACAGAGTGTTCTAGATCTAATCGATCCTCAGACTGCTGACACTACTTCTGGAGTAGTTAACTCTTCTGGGTTCTCAAGACCACCCATGATGTTCCTCGGTCAAGGGCACTGTCAGCATCCTCAGGAGGAGCAGAAACGCCTGGTTAGACATTTCATCCGTTGTCATGCTTCTGAGAAATGGAAGGACAGGGCTTCGAAGGCAGAAGTCATCTTCCCAGTTCAGGCCCCGCACAGGAGGTGCAGCCTCAGAGATGGCTGCAAACTGACTTCTCATTCCTTTTCCTCGGTTAATGAATAGCACCTCAAAAGAAATCACATGAGCCCTGTAGAACAGCAGTATTCAGAGACGCCCTTGAAAGTACCTCTGGAAGGTACCCCATCTCTGCAGACGAGATCTCTGCAAGAACTTTGTGCTTTTTGTCTGCAGTTACCGCCATTGTGAACAGCTCCCTGCTGCAGGAAAATTGATAGAATGAATTCCACTGGGAAATAAAGCAGCTATCCAAAAAGAAAACTTTTGACAGCAAAAATTAGTGTTTCAGATTAGCTCCCTCTAAGGGCAGCTTCTGTGTGATGACAGTTTACCCAGCTGGAGTCCTTCAGACAGGCGGGAGAACGCTTCAGGTGTGGCTTACCTGCCTATGGCCCCTGAGATCCCCAGGGAGGGCAAGTGGACTCAGGCCATGGTGATTCCACTCTGGGTCTTACCATTTTGTTCAAACACACCTGGGTGACAGGAGAAAAGGAAGATCCTGTTGGCAAGAAGAGCAGGGGCAGGAGCAATAAAAGTAGCTTCTGGCCCTCCCTGGTGGTGCAGCGGGTTAAAGCACAGCACTGGGAAGCTGAAGCCACTTCCGCATGAGTTTGATCCCCGCCTGCCCCAGAGGAGACCACATGGCGTGGCAGACCTCTCCTGACCCGCCCGCTGCTCCCCTCAGCAGTGTACTTCGTCGATCTGCCTGTTCTGCTCCCCACTCTGTCTCTGGTGAATCCTCTCACCCTCCACATCTCTGGCCTGTACCCCAGTTCTATACGAATAAATAAATAAATCTTAAAAAAAAAAAAGTAGCTTCTACCATGGGTTAAGTGCCTCTTGTGTGCCAGGCGGTTGTGGAGAGGGTTACTCCACCTTTCCATCTGTGTTATTATTAGCCCGGCTCCCCGGTGAGGACAGAAAGCACCCGGGAGTCAAGCCAAATCTCCTTTTCATTCTGACATGTCTCCCTCAGGTCAAATGTCAGGACAGCATGTGCATCG